CCCCCCCGAACCTCCTGACCCATCCAACCCTCCCCCCTGCTCCCTGTCTCTTGACTACCCCCCCCCACCCCAGAACCTCCCTGCTGCTTCTTTGGCCCCCGGCCCCCTTACTGTGCTGCAGAGCAGCGCGCTCGACAGCGGGGGAGGGGAGCAGGGTCGGAGCTAGGGTGACCAGACAGCAAATGTGAAAAATCGGGACGGGGGTGGGGGGTAATAGGAGTCTGTAAAAGATAAAGACCCCAAAATCGGGACTGTCCCTATAAAATCGGGACATCTGGTCACCCTAGTCGGAGCTCCAGACGGCGAACGGCCGCCGGTGATCTGTGAATGCAGGGAGGGAGGGGGAGGAAGAGAGAGGAGGGAAGTGGTGTCAAGTTTCAGAAGAGAGGAGGGGGGAAGTGACGGAAGGGCTCTGGCTCTGGCTCTGGCTGTCGGAGCCCGGGCTGCTTTGTAAGCCGCGCGCACGCTCTGTATGGTGGGGGGAGGAGGGGAAGTCTGGACATTGACAAATTCCCCCCGGACGCTATTTTTAACTCAAAAAAGCCGGACATGTCTGGGGGAATCCGGACGAATGGTAACCCTAGGTTCACCACACGCAATTCCTTCCACTAATATTCTGCTCTCATGATATGCCTCAGGCATGGGAGCCAGATCACCAGCTGGTGGAAATCAGCAATGCATCCTAGCTGTGCATTCAGTGACTGACCCAAACCCTGCTGAAGTCAACAAGAATGGGCTTTGCATAAGGCCCATACAGCCAGGGCCGGCTCCAGGGTTTTGGCCGCCCCAAGCAGCCAAACAAAACAAACAAAACAAAACAAAACAAAGCCGCGATCGCGATCTGCGGCGGCAATTCGGCGGGAGGTCCTTCGCTCCGAGCAGGAGTGAGGGACCGTCCGCTGAATTGCTGCCGAACAGCTGGACATGCCGCCCCTCTCCGAAGTGGCTGCCCCAAGCACCTGCTTGGTAAGCTGGTGCCTGGAGCCGGCCCTGCATACAGCAGTGCTTTTCAACATTTTTCATTTGCGGATCCCTAACAAGTTTTAAATGGAGGTGCAGACCTCTTTGGAAATCTTAGACATAGTCTGCAGACCCCAGGGGTCCACGAACCACAAGTGGAAAACCACTACCCTAGAGAGATCACGGTATCAAAGGAGAGATCTGAATGTGGATTGACAGGAGTACATTACAACTGTTCCCATTACAATTACTTTGTTATGAGAAATGGTAATTTGCTGGCATCTCATCCCTCCTGTAGTATCCTGTGATTGTAAGTGCATAGGAGCTGGAATCATGTCTTTATGTCTCATGGGCACCATTAAAGTAATAGAACTTATCATAAAAAAGAATAACTAAATTGAAAAATAAATATTGAAGAGCACATCACGTAACTGCTATTTATTTTCATAACCATGAGCTATTTCAAAATGCTATAAGCAGCAGCACTAAATGTACATCCTTGGAAGAAACTAAAACTGGAACTTTGCAGTTACCCAGTTCTATGCACCAAACATTAACAAATACATCAACTGGAAGAAACAGGCTAGGAAAAGGCATATTTAGTAAATTTCTTTACAAAAGTTTTCTTAGTTCAAAAAAGTGATACAGTAATATCTACTCCCAACTTTCAGAACTCATTTTCATATGAAAATATAAGTATCAAATGTAGTTATGTCTCCGCATCATACTAAAGTACGTACTGTACTAATTCTTACCCTGCCTGTATAGCAGAGATTAACAATATATTTGTATACAAAAACATGCGCCTCAAACATTGAGGTATTACTGAACTTAGGTATGAACTTCCAGTTGAATACTGGTAGCAAGAGCCACCTCTCATAATCCAAGACATGTACCAAAGGCAAGTGTGTACATGGTGTTTACAGAAAATTCCCACAGAAGTACAAATGGTAACCCCTGAAGTGACATCTGGTAGAACATAAGCCCCATTCAAAATTAGGAATCAATGTTTTTAAACTCAACTAGGTGCCATCAGTAGCTCCAAATGCTCACAACTTTTAAAGAACATCTATAGTTCTTAAGAAGCAATATGAGGGCAGTGTCTCATTGTTTGGCAGCCTCCTTGCAAGAACATCCATGCACTCTCTACCCGGATAATATAGTTCGTTAACTACTTCAAGGATTGGATCGAAAGTAAAACAACATTAACATCAAAAAACACAATTATTTTTTTAAAGAATCAAAAATGAGCAAAGTGGCAGTGACTGTCCAGGTCAGGTAAAAAAAAGTTTAGCAAGTCTCCATGTGTTCTATTTCCATTAGCAACTGCTGTTGTCTGGCTTGCAATTTTTCCTTTTCTAGCAATAACTTGTGTTCCTCTGCCTGAAGGGAATGGATATAATCAGTGGCTTTATTCCAGATGAGTATTTTTGCGGCTTTCTCATTTTTAACCAGTTCAGGTACATGGTCCCTTAATGTGAGGAAACTAGACCGCAGATCCTTATTCCGCTGACGTTCCAGACAATTGAGGCGTAGACGTTTGCTATCCTCTGACTCTGCATTTTGAGGACTTGAACTCTTAGACTCTGGTTGGATCATGGGTTTTGTGACATGGGGCACCTCATTTTTTAGCTTTTCCTGTGGCAGGGCATCTTCACTTTCAATGTATAGGGAAGGGGCGGTGTAGTAATAATGCTGGTGAATCGGGGTGCAATGCTTTAGAATAATAGTCATAACTGTCTTCTTGGAGGAAGAGTGCCTTTTCTCCACTGCCAGAACCTCAATGTCTTCCACGTCATCCTCTTCCTCATCTTTAGAAATACAAAATATAAGATAAAGAAAGTAAGTTGTTCTCACCAAAAAATATTCATACAGGACCTTGACATTTAAAAACTAGTAACATACCAACCTCAGCCTAGATCAATCCACACAAG